CGGGCCCCCGCCGGACACGGGCCGAGCCCCGGGAGCCCCGGAACCTGCAAGCTGGAGCCCCTTGGTCTGCACGTAGTTGGTGCGCTGTCCGCCCTTCTCCGTGGGGCGACCCGATCGCTGAGGGGGGCGGGGGAGGGCGGTGCGTGCTTCTCAAGCTCGGGGAGGGGGCGGGGAGGGCGCAGGACGCGGGTCGGTACCCCCGTGCATCGAGGCTGCGGGCTTTGTGTGGCGGCTGCGGGTCCCGGGATCCGGTGTTGGGTGTGTCTGCGGAGGAATTGGGTGGAAGAATGGGGGTCGGGGGCGGGGAGGGCGTCGAGGGACGGGGGAGGGGCGCGCGGGGAGGCTTTCCTCTCCGGGCTTCTCGGAGAAAACAAATGCGTGTGTGTGTGCGTGTGTGTGTGTGTGTGTGTGTGTGTGTGTGTGGTGGGGGGGCTGATGTTAACTGACAACATATGTGAGAGAGAGGGCGTGAGTGGGAAGAGGCTGGCATCAGGAAGTGTTGGGTGCCCAGAAAGGCTGAACTGGGGTGGGGTGGGGGGAGGTGGGCTTGGACTGGAAAGATGGAACTGCCAGGGTTGGAGAGCTGGGAGTGAGGTTGTGGATTTGAAGGCCGGACCTTGGGCAGGATATCGGGGGATGGGGTGGACAGGAGAGTGGTTGGATCTTGCTTGGGGCAGAATTGTCGGTGACAGTCAAGATCAGGGTGCACATGTGGCATCTGCTCCTGTCAGTAAGCTGGCAGGACTTATGGTTGCGGGATGGGGTAGGTGGGCTTAGAGGGGTGGGGTGCTGCACTGTGACCCCTGTGTCTTCCTTCAGCCACCATGTTCAACCAGCAGCAGCTCCAGCAGCAGCAGCAGCAACTGCAGCAGCAGCAACTGCAGCAGCAGCAGCAACAGTTGCTGCAGCTCCAGCAGCTGCTCCAACAGTCCCAACTCCAGGCCCCATTGTCCATGACTGTTAACCGGTGAGTTCTCTACTTAGGGGTGGGGGAAGAACCTCCAGTGGGACACTGGAGCCCTCACCCCAGTCCTTCCTCCCAGAGACATCCTCATTTGAGTCCACAGATCTTCCATCTGCCAAAGAAGGGATGAGAGCGTAGCAACGAAGGATCTCAAGGAGATCCCGATGACCCCATGTCACCCTCTCCTCACACACAGGGGTCTTCTGCAGCAGCAGCAGTCTCAGCAGCAGCCTCTGAATCTCCAGGGTGCCCCGGCCACCCCCCTGCTCAATAGCTCCATGCTGCAGAGAGCTTTCCTTCTGCAGCAGTTACAAGGTAACTGCTCACACTCATACCAGCTCCCACAGCCCAGGGTGTGACCTTGGAGCACTCACGTTCACAGGAGGCTCCGGGAGGTGTGCCCTTGGCTGTGGCTCTGGGTGGGGCTCTGCACACCTCACTCACAAGCAGTTAATTGGCCTTTGATGCACACAGAAGTGTCTCTGAGCAGAGGTCATTTGGTCACACAGCGTCAGTGCTAGCCTAGCTAGATAGACCAAAGTCTGGGCCTCCTCACCATCAGCATTTTTGGCCTTTGCCTTTGTTTCCCCACGTGAAGAGCAGTCTCAGCTCTTCTTTCAAGAAAGCTGCTCCTGCCTCTACTAGGAATCCCAAGGGGAGATTACCTTGATCTCCTCTTACAAATGAGAAAACTTGAGGCCTAGCGAGAGATCATGTGCCCACGGTTGCAGGGCAGGTCAGGAGCTGGTTGAGGAAGTGGTCATCAGCCTCCAGCCTTGCTAGAACACATTTGTGTGGTCAGTCCTGGGAGCTGATATGTAAGCGATATATGGATGGATAGAGAGAAATGTAGCCAGGGACTGGTGGCTCACACCTATAATCCTGGCTACACAGGAGGCTGAGATTTGAGGATCATGGCTTGAAGCCAGCTGGGGCAGGAAGTCTGTAAGACTTTTATCTCCCACAGCATTTCATGGACTTCCCTTCCTGGGCTGGCTTCAAACCTGGATCCTCAGATCTAAGCTAGTAGCCAAGTAGCTAGGATTACAAGTGTGAGCCACCAGCACGTGTCCCTCGTTCCCATTTTAAAAGTCACATTCTGGCTGGGCGCTAGTGGCTCTCACCTGTAATCCTAGCTACTCAGGAGGCTGAGATCTGAGGATCATGGTTCGAAGCCATCCTAGGCAGAAAAGTCCCCAGGGGACAAAAAAATCACTTTCTTCAAAGTGAAAATATTTGTTAAAATAAAAGGGGGGTGAGCTGGGAATGTGGCTTAGTGGTAGAGTGCTTGCCTAGCACGTGTGAAGCCCTGGGTTCTATTCCTCAGTACCACATAAACAGAAAAAGCTGGAAGTGGTGCTGTGGCTCAAGTGTTAAGAGTGCTAGCCTTGAGGAAAAGCAGCTCAGGGACAGTGCCCAGGCCCCAAGTTCAAGCCCAAGGCTCTAAGTTTGGTCCTCAGCTTTAAAAAAAAAAAGGTGGGGGATAGGTAGGAAAATACTAATATCCTAAAGAAAGTTACCAGCCAATGTTTTGCTATATGTCTAGGCAGCATAAGGTTCTCTCTGTGTCTGTCTCTGTCTATCTGTCTGTCTGTCTGTCTCTGTCTCTGTCTCTCTCTCTGCCAGTAGCAGTACCTTGCATTCTCCTTGGCTTCCCTCCTCCTCTCCCCCCCCCCCGCCCAAGGCTGGTACCCTATCAATTGATCTATAGCTCTACCTCTGGCTTTTGCTGGTTAATCAGAGATAAGAGTGTCATAGACTTTTCTTGCCAGGCTGGATTCAAGCTTCCATCCTCTGATTTCAGCCTCCTGAGTGGCTAGGATTACAGGTGTGAGCCACTGCTGCCTGCTAGTTCTTTTCTTTTTGCTAGAGTTTGACTGTAGGTGTTCAGTGTTTCACTGCAGGGCTTTGCTTGCTGAAACATTTTCAGTTGTTTACCTGTGGTTTTTTCTTTTTCCTTTTTATTACTTGAAATCACGATGGTATAAATACGATATGTGAGACTGTTTTCTTCCTTCCTTCCTTTCTCTCTCTCTCTCTCTCTCTCTCTCTCTTTCTTTCTTTCTTATTTTGTCAGTCATGGGGTCTGAACTCTGGGCCTGGGCACTGTCCCTCAGCTCTTCAGATCAGGCTAGCGCTATACCACTTGAGCTACGGTGCCAGTTCAGGATTTTTCCCCCTGCTTCTGTGGTGCTGAGGAATTGAACCCAGGACCTCATGCATGCAAGGCAAGCACTTTACCACTGAGCCACCTTCCCAGCCCGATACTGTTCTCTTAGAAGAGATTGTCCAGGTAGAATGACTGAGTCAGGGGGAGCACAGCGTGTTTTATGACTTTTGATAAGTATTGCCAAATTGCTTTCCTAAAGGACTGGACCAGTTTGGAATGCCACCAGCCACGTATGACAGTAACAGTCTCACCATGCCCACGGCAACACTGGGTATTACATGCTTTTTGAACTATATATATGTAAATTTCTATGTGCATATAACTTAAGTTGGTTTGCAAAAAAAAAAAGCTGGGCCATTTGTGTTTTAATTTGCATCTCCTGAAGGTCTGGATGTTTTCATTTATGTTTCATTCATCGCTGTTAACCATGTGTATTTTAATTTTTTTTCTGTGACTTGTGTATGTCATTCATCCATTTTCCTCTGAGGATATTTCTTCCATCTTTATCTTACTGCTTTTTAGGTTGGCTGTCTGCACATGGAGGTGCGGATTTGTTGTAGGCTAATGCTAATGAAACTGAATCAGGCACATGAATGTACCTCAGTGAGTCCACTTGAAACATTATAAGGCAAGATTATTTTTTATCCCTATGAGTTTTTCTTTTTACAGTACTGAGATTTTGACTCAGAGCCTGGCGCTTGCTGGACAGACACTCTCCTACTTGCGCTATACCTCCAGCTCTTTTTGTTTTACTTTTTTTTTGGGGGGGTGGTCTGGTTTTAAAACTCAGGGCCTTGATGCTGTCCCTGAGTATTCTTTTGTTCAAGGCTAGTGCTCTATCATTTGAGCCACACTTCCACTTCTGACTTTTTTACTGTTAAGTGGAGATAGGAGTCTCCTATCTTTTCTTGCCAGGGCTGGCTTCAAATCACGATCCTCACATCTCAGCCTTCTGAGTAGCTAGGATTGTAGGTATGAGCCACGGGCACCCTGGCATGCGTTAGTTTTTATTAATGTATCATTTTTAGACAGAGTCTCAATCTTTTTGCTTGGGGCTAGCCTTGGACTAAAGTCCTTCTTCCTCCACCTCCTATATAGCTGGGTGTCTGCTACCACTGAGGCTTAGAAGGGGGAACTGGCTTGGTTATGGAATAAGTACTGTAGAGTCTGAATTTGAACCCGGCTCTCACAGCACAACCATCCCATGCCTCTAACCCTCTCCTTCCTATCCCAGCACTGGGGCAAGAGTTCCAACTGTCTTGATGCCTCAGATACTTTCCAGGCTGTGAGCTTCCCCTGGGGTGCAGAGCTGAGTCAGAGGACGCACAGCAAAAAGTAGATAAGGAAATGTGTGGCTGGCCCTAGGACAGAGGATAGCCCGTGGTGACACGGAGGGTCTGGGAAGCCTCCTGAAGAAGAGACCCCTAAAATGTGTAGAAGTTAATGGAGCAGAGGGGACGACAGCATGTACAAAGGCCCAGAGACAGGATGTTTGAAGGACTATTTAGGGACATGTACCTGGAATGCAATGGGGCATATGTGGAGAGAATGGCCAGAAAGGAAGTTGGATAGGTAAGCAGGGCCAGACCTTGCACTGGGAGTCATGTGCTTTATCTTGAGTAGCAGGAAGGGTTTGTGCAGGAGAGAGCTGAGGTCAGAATGTGGTTTTGAAAAGGTCTCTGCTTGAGAGGCCATCCCGTAGGAGAGCTGAGGCTAAAATGCTGTGAGAGATGACGTATCTCTGAGGGAGCAGGAAAAGGAGAGAGGAAGCCAGACTGCGAGGAAGCGGGAGGGATAGAGCTGGTAGGGTTTGGTGGGGTTAGGGTAAGGAGGAGGATCAGGAGGACCTCAGAGCGCTGTCTGGGCCTTGGGGTAGACCATGAGCAAGCTGTGGCTCTGATTTGTGTATCCATTTTGCGGTTGAGAGAGGTAGTAACATGACCTTCATTCCTGTGACTGAGGGCATGTTCTTAGCCAGTCCCTGGCACACGGTGGGCCTTTGTAGGAGGGAAGAGGGCTGGTTCTCCCTGTAGGCCCTGTACTAGGGCCCTGGCATGCCTAAAGGAGGTAGCCTAAAGCATCCTGGAGGGTAAGAGGGTGGCTAAGGTACTTCTCTGCTAACCAGGGGGCTCTAGGCGGGAAAGGCAGCTCCTATCCCCAGCTAGAGTGGAAACCCTACTTGTAAACCCCTTCCCCTGCCAACATTCCCTCTGTGATATTCCCACAATGCTTTGGGGGACTGACCCCCCACCCGCCTCTAGCTCTACCGCCCAACTACTGTGTGACCCCACTTCTCTTACCTGCAGGCAGCTTCCGAGGCTACGGCATGGCAGCCCCAAATCTGGCAGCTCCCAGCCTTACAACACCCCAGCTGGCTCCCCCAAACCTGCAGCAGTTCTTTCCCCAGGCCACACGTCAGTCCCTGCTCGGCCCTCCTCCTGCAGGGGTCCCCATGAACCCTCAGCTCAGCCTCTCTGGGCGGAATCCCCAAAGAAAGGCTCGGAACTCCTCTTCCATCCCCCCAAATCGCAAGGTGAGTGGTGGCTGGTGTGGACAGGTGGAGGTGAGAATGTGAGGGGCTATCTGAAAATGTGTCGTCATCCCCCCCCCCCGCCCATGTCTGCTGCTCAGGCGCTCTCTGGGTCTTTGGGTAGCTCATTCCCCCCGCCCCCCCCTGCAGTGATAACATCTGCAGTGATAACATCTGTAAGGGGGGGGAGGCACAGAGGACAGATTTGTCCAGCACTTCCCAGACTTGCATACCCTGATGTGATTTTTGCCGTGTCTTTAACTACCAGTTTTTTTGTTTTTGTTTTTACTTTTTATTTGTTTTGGTACTAGAGCCTGAACTCAGAGCCTGGGCCTTGTTTCGTAGTTGTTTTGCTCAAGACTGGAGCTCTACCACTTAAGCCACAACTCCACTTCTAGCTTTTTTGGTGATTAATTAGACAGGCACTGGTGGTTCACACCTGTTATGCTAGGTACCCCAGAGGCTGAGCTCTGAGGATCACAGGTGGAAGTCATCCCAGACAGGAAAAGTCTGTGACACTCTTCAGTGTCAGTGTCAGCCACATGTGGAGCTGTGGCTCAGATGGTAGAGTGCTAGCCTTGCGCAAAAAAGCTCAGGGAAGTGGCGCTGTGGCTCAAGTGGTAGAGCACTCACCTTGAGCTGAAGAGCTCAGGGACAGCGCCTAGGCCCAGAGTTCAAGCCCCAGGACCGACTCCCCCCCCCCCCCCCGAAAAAAAAGCTCAGGGACAACACTCAGGCCCTGAGTTCAAGCCCCCAAACTGAGAGACTTTTTTTGATAGCTTAATGGAGATAAGAGTCTCACAGACTTTCTTGCCCAGGCTGGCTTTGAAACTCAATCCTCAGATCTCAGCTTCCTGAATAGCCAGATTTGAGCCACTAAATACAGCCTGGATTTGTTTAGCCACTGGCCAACTGGATGGTGTGCCTCCCAACATCCTGGGGGTGTTTTCAGTCTCCTGTCCCCCGTTCTAGAGGGTCCCTGGGTCCTTTCAAGACTCTTAAGCACTTTGAGCCCCGCCCCGGGAACAATGGCTGCCATTCTTGGGCAAGGGGATATTTGCGAGGGGGACATGTCAAAAAACAGTTTCTGATAAGAAGCAGGATTCTTCTTCCCAGACAGCGCCTCTGGAAGACAGGAAAGACCCCCTTGAGGGGTTTGAGGATGACTCTGCACTCAGCACTGACACACTGGAAGGTGAGAGGAGAGGAGGCCTGGGGCCCTCGGGTGGGGCACAGGGCCCCGGATGACGGGCCACTCTAGGATTTGGCCCGCCTTGCATCTCTGCTCCTTCACTGCCTCCATGGCAGACCAGGACTCGCCCACTCACCCCGATGGCACCACAAGTGAGAGGCGCCCCCTGGCAGTTGAGGCTGCACCTCATGAGGACTCGGATCCGCCAGCCAAGAGGTTGAAGAGGTAACCACTGCCAGGAATGGCCTGGGCCTTTCACCCAAGACAGGGGTGGAACTGGAATGAGGAGTGAGCTTTGGCCTCTGGCCAGAAAGAAGGTGGTCTACCTGGGGGACTCCAGGCAGACCCAGGAGTCTACATTGGGGCTCAGCCTCCCAGAGGTGAGCCTGGGTGCCCGGAGCGGGGAGGTGACAGTACGTGTAGGCTAGGCTGGGTCAAGGTCCTGAAAGCCATGGAGTTTGCCCACATCCCCCCATTGCAGATGGTAGAGCTAGACTTGGTCACTGAGTCTTGGCCCGTCTGATCATCTTGGACTGTTTTGTAGCTCAGAGGAATTCACCAAGAAAAGGCCTCCTGGGCAGCTACAGGCAAAGGTTCAGCCACAAGCCCGCATAACAGCACCAAAGCAGACCCAGACCTCTGAGCCACTGGGCACCCAAGTGCTGCCACGTATCCAGCCATGGGTTTTGCAGACCCAGGTGCAGCCACAGACTCAGCCTCCAGCAGACACACAGGTGCAGCCAAAGCTGCAGAAGCAGGCGCAAACACAGACCTCTCCAGAATACTTACTGCCAGAGCCGGAGCAGGTACAGCTCCAGGTACAGGTACATACCCAAGAACAGGCCAGGAACCAGCCCCAGGAGCAGCCTGCAGAGCAGGTGTCGGAGCCACCCCCAGAGCAGACCCAGGACGAGACTGAGGACCAGCCTCAGGAGCCAGTGTCCATCTCAGAGCAAGCACCAGACCTGGCTCATGACGCCATAGTGGAGGCCCTAGCCAGCACCGCAGAAGCTGGGGGAGGTGAGTGTGGTCTCCAGATGGTGTTTTTTTAAAAAAATAACTGTTGTTGTTATTAAATAGTTGCACAAAGAGGTTTCAGTTCCCTAAGTCAGGTTATGAGTACATTGCATCTTGATTAATATCATTCTACCCCATGTTCCCCTCTCTTCCACACAATCTTAGTGAGACAGCTGTCTGGTCCCTTTTTTCTTCCCGTGGCATGGACCCTGGGTGCTGCCAGGCACTGAGGGCTGGGCCTGGAGCACAGATCTGGGGCTGGCCCTACCCAGGACCACCAGAGCCCTGGTTGTGGGCAGAGAAGGCAGCTGCTGAGCCCTGGGTGGTAAATGCACTCTGGGAAGGGGGCACACTTGTCATTTCAGGCATGGAGGAGGCCTCGCCAGAGTCAGAGTGCGCCCAGGTCAGCGAGGATGTGACCCAGGAGGAGCCGCCCAGCGGCCTGGATGTGGGAGAATGTGAAAAAAGGGCAAAAGAGATGCTAGGGGTGCGTAGACGTGGGAATGGTCCCAGAGCTTGGCAGCTTGGGGTGTGGGGAGGTGGCCTCTCTTGCTCCAGGCCATGTGGGGGGGTCCCTTGTGTTTCCCCACCTATTAAAGGGACAGCAGCTCTGTCCCTGGCTTTGTGGGGACACTGGGCAACGGTTCCTCAGCATAAAACCTTGAGCTGTCCTGTCATCTCCATGTGCCTTTGAAGACCAGGATGCTTTTGGTGATGAGTCCCTTCCGGCCTGCCCATTCCTAAACTGCGCACCCCTCCCTGCCTTCCTGCTCCCCCATCTCACACAGGTGAAGTAACTATATTGGAGAGAGCAGAATGGACGCTTCTGTGTGGGACCCAAGTCTCAGTTCTGCCTTTTAGCTTAATAGGAGGCAAATGCCTCCTTTTATTTTATTTTATTTATTTTTTTTTCTGGACGTGGGGCCTGAACTCTGGGCCTGGGCACTGTCCCTCAGCTCTTCAGCTCAAGGCTAGCGCTCTACCACTTGAGCCACAGCGCCACTTCCAGCTTTTTCTGCTTATGTGGTGCTGAGGATTCGACCCAGGGCCTCATGCCTGTAAGGCAAGCACTCTGCCACTGAGCCACCTTCCCAGCCCAAGCCTCCTTTTATTTTGGTCTCGGTTTCCTCATCTGTTGTCTGAAGGGTGGTATGGGTTAGACTTTAGAAATGAGGAGATCCGGGTTCAAATCCTAGCTACAGTAATTTCTATGTGATCTGGACTCGCAAGGCAATCATTGAGCAGCCAGAGCCTCAGTTTCCCTGTTAGGAGGTTGATGGGACAGTGGAGACCAGTGTTGAGTGCTGGCTCACCACAAGTGCCTTGCCTGATGGCGGAAACTCTGCTCCTACTCTTGCTGTAGATGTGGGGTGCCGGGAGCTCCCTGAAAGTCACCATCCTGCAGAGCAGCAACAGCCGGGCCTTTAGCACTGTACCCGTCACATCCGGGCCCCGTCCTGGTGACTCCAGCTCCGCCACCCCCACAGGCTCCAGTGTACCTTCCAGGCCAGCCCTCCAGTTCTTCTGCTATATCTGCAAGGCCAGCTGCAACAGCCAGCAGGTACTCAGAGCTGGCCAGCCGGGAGGGGCAGTCCTGACCTGTCCAGCTGCCCTGTGGCTGCATAGGGCCCTCGGGCCCTGCCCCGGGCAGCTGTGCTTCACCTCTGAAGCATTTTGTGATCTGGAGGGAGGGCAGGTTTATGTTTTTATTTTATTTATTTATTATTTATTTATTTATTGTCAGTTGTGTGGGTCTGGGCGCTGTCCCTCAGCTCTTCAGCTCAAGGCTAGCGCTCTATCACTTGAGCCACAGCGCCACTTCTGGCTTTTTCTATTCATGTGGTGCTAAGGAATCGAACCCAGGGCCTCATGCATTGCAAGGCAAGCACTCTACCACTGAGCCACCTTCCCAGCCTGGGAGGGCAGGTTTTTAAGAGTCAAGTGGGTGAGGTTCAGATCAGCCCTCAGCAGCTCTCAGGAAATAAATTCTAGTGGGGAGTGTTGGTGCACGCTTCTGAGGCGAAGATAAACTCTCCAACAAGAGATCAACCCTGCATCTGCCTCACAAGCAAATGAAAAGTCTTGGGCTGTGGCTGAAGTGCTGGGAGGTTGTGGTTCCCTCATTAGTAGGGGTGAATTCCATGACCGCACCTATATTTTCTGTGTCGTGTGAGGAAATGTTCAGGACCCACTTTATTGAGTGGTCTGGAAGATTCCATAACATGACATTAAAGACCTAAACCAGACATGACCCTAGTGAGTACACCATTGATAATGGTAGACTTGGTTGGGTTCAGTGGCACATTTCTGTAGCCCCAGCTACCCAGGAGGCTGAGGATCACTTGAGGCCAGTGTTTGAGATCAGCCTTTTTACTTTTTCTTTATACATTTTTTTTCTCTTTTAATTCCTCTATTTTTTGTGGTACTAAGGAATCAAACCCAGGGCTTCATGCATGCTAGGCAAGCACTCTACCACTAAGCCACATTCCTAGCTCTAGATCAGCCTTTTTTCTGGTGGTTCATGTATGTAATCCTAGCTACATAGGAGGGTGAAATCTGATGATCAAGGTTCAAGGCCAGCATAGGCAGAAAAGTTTGTGAGAGTCTCCAATTAGCCAGTAAAAAGCTGGAAGTGGAGGTATGGCTCAAGTGGTTGAGCACTAGCCATGAGTGGTAAAGGCTAATGGACAGAATTCAAGCCCTGTCTGTGTTCAATCCCCAGGACCAACACAAAACAAACAAAAAATATATCCTTACACTCATAATATTACTGTTGTGTGTGTGTGCGTGTGCATGCACACTCATGCACACACACGCCAGCAAAAGCATAGTATTAACTTTTGTTGTTGTTGTTGTTGGTCGTGAGGCTTGAACTCTGGGCCTGAGTGCTGTCCCTCAGCTCTTCAGCTCAAAGCTAGCATCTACCACTTGAACCACAGCGCCACTTCCAGTTTTCTGGTGGTTCATTGGAGATAAGAGTCTCACAGACTTTCCTGCCTGGGCTGGCTTTGAACTGCGATCCTCAGGTCTCAGCCTCCAAGTGTGAGACCCCAGCACCCGGCTTAGTATTAACTTATTGTGTCCTGTCACTCCACTCCTCCCCTGAGCCGCGCTGTGGAGGCCTGAGTTAACCAGGGTGCTCCCTGGGAGGGGCAGAGGCTCCAACTGGTGTGTATTTCCTCTACCTCAGTTTACCCTCCCTGCTGTGTGAGAGCGCTGGCCTCACAGAGACGGCAGGGTGGCTGTGACGCGCAGGCGGAGTCGTCCTCCCCCGCGCTCACGGCCCCCTGGCTCCCCCGTGCTGCAGGAGTTCCAGGACCACATGTTGGAGGCTCAGCACCAGCAGCGGCTTGGGGAGATGGAGCACGCCAGCCAGTCCTGCCTGCTGTCCCTGCTGCCCATGCCCCGGGATGTCCTGGAGAGAGAGGCAGAGTAAGTGGGGGCTGGGGGGGCGCGGGGGGCCTGTACCTGCCCTCAGCAGGGTCTGCCCTCAGGGTAAGCATTGCCCTCCACAGAGGCCCCTCACGCCATTAACTGCCCAGCCTTCAAGCCTCAGTGTGGCCATCTGTGTGGAAGGGAGGTGGATTGTGGCTCAGCACCCGCTGCCCTGGTGCCTGTGCCAGTTCCACCTGTGGGGCACCCTGGGGAGAACTAGGCCAACTTCCTGCCCAAGGTCCGAGCTTCCCTGGGTCCCCCTTAGGACAAGCTGCCGGGATGTAGAGGGATGTCACTGCCCATGGTGGGACCTGCCCAGGGGGCTTGGCTTTCTGGGCGGGCAGCATGTCCAGGAATGGGGCGGGGCGGGAAAGCTTAGGGAAAGGTGAGCGTTGGAGGCCGGCTGGGCTCAGCTGTGTCCCGTGCTGGTGGCAGCCAGCGTGCACCGCCTGCCAGTGCTGCTCTCCCGCCGCCTCCACAGGCCACCCAGAGCACAGAGGAGCCAGGTTTCTGGGAAAAATTAAAATTAAAAAAATAAATCAAGCCAGGCACCAGTAGCTCACGCCTGTAATCCTAGCTGCTCAGGAGGCTGAGATCTGGGGATTGTGGTTCAAAGCCAACCCGGGCAGGAAAGTCTGTGAGACTCTTATCTCTAGTAAACTATCAGAAAACCGGAAGTGGCGCTGTGGCTCAAGTAGTAGGATGCTAGCCTTGAGCTCAAGAGCTCAGGGACAGTGCCCAGGCCCAGAGTTCAAGTCCCATGACCAACCAAGTGGCAGAGTGCCTGTGTAGCAGACGTGGGACACTGATTTCAAACACCCTAGTATAGAAAAAAAAATCAAAACAAAACAAAAAATGCTTATATGGGTGTGGTGGCTTTGTAATTACAGCTACTGGAGAGACAGAGGGGGAATCTTGAGGTCGAGGTTAGGCTAGGCAAGGTTCTACTCTATATGGGGAGGGGAGGAAGCCTGGTGTTTGCTGGTGCCTTGAACATGCCTGTAATCCTACCTACTCAGGAGGCTGAGATCAGAGGATTGAGGTTCAAACCCAGCCTGGGCTGTAAAATTCATGAGACTCTTACCTCTTGTTAAACAACAAAAAGCTGGAAATAGAGATGTGGAAGAGTGCTAGTCTTTTTTTTTTTTTTGGGTCCGGTCGTGGGGCCTGAACTCTGGGCCTGGGCGCTGTCCCTCAGCTCTTCAGCTCAAGGCGAGCGCTCTACTGCTTGAGCCACAGCACCACTTCCAGTTTTCTAGTAGTTTATTGGAGATAAGAGTCTCATGGACTTTCCTGCCTGGGCTGGCTTTGAACCATGATCCTCAGATCTCAGCCTCCTGAGTAGCTAGGATTACAGGCGTAGCCACCAGCACCTGGCTAAGAGTGCTAGTCTTGAGTAAAAAAGCTAAGGGATAGTACCCCGGCCCTGAGTTCAAATTCTAGTATCAGCACTCTCTCTCTCTCTCTCTCCCCCCTCCCTCTCCTGGTGGCACATGCTTATAATGCTAGCTTTTCAGGAGGCTCAGATCTAAAGATCCTGGTTCTGTGTTAGTCAGGGCAGAAAAATCCATAAGATTCTTTATCTCCAGTTAACCAGCACAAAAAGCCTGAAATGGAGCTGTGGGTTCAAGTGGTAGAGTGCCAGCCATGAATGAAAATATTAAGGGATAACACCCAGGTCCTGAGTTCTAACCCCAGTGATGACATTAAAAAAAAAAGGTGGGGCTGGGATGTGGCTCAGAGGTAGAGTGCTTGCCTAGCATGTATGACGCTCTGGGTTTGATTCTTTAGTACCACATACACAGAAAAAGCTGGAAGTGGTACTGTGGCTTAAGTGGTAGAGTGCTAGCTTTGAACAAAAGAAGTTCAGGGACAGTGCTCAGGCCCTGAGTTCAATCCCTAGGACTGGAAAAAGAGAGAGAGAGAGAAAAGAAAAGAAAGAAAAGAAAAAAGCCAGGTGCTGGTAGCTCATGCCTTTAATCCTAGCTACTCAGGAGACTGAGATGTAAGGATTGTGTTTTAAAGCTGTGCCAGGCAAGAAAGTCCATGACAGTGATCTCTAATTACCAAAAAGCCAGAAATGGAGCTGTGGCTCAAGTGGTACAGCACTAGTCTTCGGGGACAGCATGCAGGTCCTGAGTTCAAGCTCCAAGACAGGCACTTAAAAAACAAACAAAACCTAAGAATTACAGTCATGCTACACAATGTTTATGAATACCCCTCCCCCCTTTCCCCCCACCCAGCCTCCTTTGGTTGATCAAGAATTGAATTCAGGGCCTGGGCGCTATCCCTCAGATTTTATGCTTAATGCTAGGATTCTATCTCTTCGAGCCACAGCTCCATTTCTGATTGTAGCCATGAGCCACCAGTGCTCAACTTTTAAAAATTTTCTCCCTCCTTCCCTCTCTCTGTCATGGGGCTTGAACTCAGGGCCTGGACACTGTCCCTGAGCTTGTTTTGCTCAAGGCTAGTGCTTTACCACTTAGAATTACAGCATGACTTCCAGTTTTCTGGTGGTTTATTGGAGATAAGAGTCTTACAGGGGTTTTGCACCCTGGGCTGGCTTCAAACTGTGATCCTCAGATCTCAGCCTCCTGAGTAGCTAGGATTACAGGTGTGAGCCACCTGGCTTCTTTCCATTTTTTTCTCTTTTCTCTCCTTTCTTCCCTCCCTTCCTTCCTTCCTTCCTTCTTCCCTTCCTTCCCTCCTTTCTCCCCTCCCTCCTTTATTTATTTTTTTGTAGTACTGGTTTGAACTCAGGGCCTTGCACTCACACTCAACCCTTAACCAGATTAGATTATTTTTCAGGTAAGATCACATTATGCTCCAGCTATCTTGGGACCATGATCCTCAAATATGCTTTCTGCATAGCTGGGATTACGGGCATGGATCACCATACCCAGCCTTTTTCTTTCTTAGTGGTGGTAATGGAAGGCAGGGTCTCACTCACGTTAAGCATGTGCTCTACACTGCACCACACACAGGGCGCTGAATTGTGTTGCTGTCTTTCCCACCAGCGCAGTGTCCCACTGTGCTCCTTTTCTTTGTCCTCATTCAGAGAGCCACCACCAAAGCGCTGGTGCAATACCTGCCAGGTATACTACATGGGGGACCTGATCCAGCACCGCAGGACCCAGGACCACAAGGTAGGAGGGACTGGCGTGCGTGAAGACCCCTGCAGTCCCGTCTCCGGTTGGAGGGCAGGAGGAGGGAGCCCAGGATGGGGTGGAAAGAAAAGATGTCTTGTCGGGGTGTGACCGTTTCTCAGCGTGGCCTCTGGTGAGTGAGTCACGTTCCTCTCTGGGCTGTCCGTGTCCTCATCTGTCCAACGTGGGCAGGGCACGAGATCACCCTGCCATTCAGCCACGGGGCTCACAGCAGGCTCAGCCTTTGGTAGCTGCCTTGGCTCAAGCCAACCACACTGGGAAGAGATGTGTTTGCACACGCCATGCAGGGTCAGAGCCAGGCTGGCTTGCTGCAGCTGTGCGGGCCTTCCAGGTGGGGGCACTGGGCACTGCCTGGTTACTAGCAGGGGTGGGGTGGTGCATAGCAGGGGACCCCGCCTGCCACCCATGCCCCCTGCCCTCTTTCTCCCTCAGATCGCCAAGCAATCCCTGAGGCCCTTCTGCACTGTGTGCAACCGCTACTTCAAGACCCCCCGAAAGTTTGTGGAACATGTGAAGTCTCAGGAACACAAGGACAAGGCTGAGGAGGTAACCCCCGTGCGCCTCAGAGAACGTGAACCCAGAGAGGCATAAAGCCTTCCCCAAGGCCACATTGTAGTTTGAGGTTTATCCCAGCTTAACTCACAACAGGTCCAGAAGGGACTATTGGGACTCAGTGTGGTGTGTGTGTGTGTGCGTGTGTGCATGCGTGCTTGCGTGTGTGTGTGCGTGTGCGTGTGTGTGTGTGTTGGTCCTGGGGCTTGAACTTAGGGCCTGGATGCTGTCTCTTAGCTTCTTTGTGTAAGGCTGGCACTCTACCACTTGAGCCACAGCTCCACTTTTGGCTTTTTGGTGGTTCATTAGGGATAATAGTCTCATGGATTTTCCTGCCCCAGTTGGCTTCAAACTGCTACCTTCAGATCTCAGCCCCCCTGAGTAGCTAGGATGACAGGCATGAGCCACTGGTGCCCAGCAACTACTGGGACTCTCGAGGATCAGTGACACTTGGCGTCTCAACTGCTCCCCGCCCACCCCTCTGAGCAGCTGAAGACTCTGGAGAAGGAGAGAGCCAGCCCTGATGAGGAGCACTTCATCACCGTGGACGCCGTGGGCTGCTTTGAGGGCGATGAGGAGGAGGAGAAGGATGAAGAAGAGATTGAGGTTGAGGAGGAATTATTGAAGCAGGTGCTTGGGGTGGGCTCTGGGAGGTGGGCTGGAGCCAGCAGAGCCCTCCCCGCCCCCCACCTGGGACCCAGGTGCTAGGTTGCCTTCTGTGGTTCACGAATGCATGCCACAACTTACTAACATGCACCATGGCTCAGAGCATGCCCAGGCTCAGAGCGTGCCACCCCCCACCACCTGGAAGTCAAGGGAATGGTGTGCTTCAGACCAGAGTGGGCTCCAAGCCCCTGACCTGCGCGTGTAAAGGGCTGGGGACCCCTCTGAGGCCCACACTGCGTGTCTCCAGGTGAGCTCTGGAGACCTGTCTGTGGAGGAGTGGAAGAACGCAGAGACCTGCGACCCCGACACTGCGTATGGTAAGCTCCAGCCTTGAGCCCCTGTCCGGGCCGCCCCCCGATCTCAGCTGTCACAGCTGATCTCAGCTGTGCCCGACTTCCTCCTCCTCTCCCGCCAAGAGGGCACCGAGGGAGGGAGCAAAGGGACCCCTGGCCGGTGGGTGACTGAGTGAGCCCGGGCCCTGCTGTCTGGCCCTAGGTGTGGACTTGCTGGTGCCGGTCATGGGCTATGTGTGCCGCATCTGCCGCAAGTTCTACCACAGCACCTCGGGGGTGCAGCCGTCCCACTGCAAGACCCAGGCCCACATCGAGAACCTGCAGGTGAGCTGGATATCCCAACCACCCGCCCTGTCCAGGGACCCAACCTCTGGCCCATCAGCTACTTCCCTCATGCTTCAAGTCCCCTCAGGCCCCACACTGCCACAGGGGGTGGGGATCCACACTGTGATGGTGCTGGGTGCTTTGTTATTGACCTGGGAGGTGCTGAGGATCAGGCTTTTAACTCCAGAGCCTTGGCCCAGAGAGGCTGAGTGCACTACCCGGGGTCACACAGCACATCGACACTGTCTTGACTGCCATAGGACCAGAAGCTGCTGGCCAGAGCTTCTAGGAGACTCTGGCCTTATTGTTGTGCCTCTGTATTTAGAAACACAAAGCAGCCAAGAAGCCCAGCCCCACAGTCCATCGGCCTGTGAGCCGCCGGTGTGCCATCAATGCCCGGAATGCCTTAACTGCACTGTTCACCTCCAGCAGCAGCAGTGGTCGCCTGCCCACACATCTCAGCTCCCACGACAGGGCCAAGGCCCCCAGCAAGGTGAAGCGTCAACCCCCCAACCTCCTGCCCCGACCTCGGCGCTCAACCCGCTTCAAAACCTGATGGCAGGCTGGGGACCCCGAGCAGCCAGTGCTTTCCAGGAGCCCGTGTGCATGTGCTTAGTAATTTCACTCAAAAGCCAATAAAAGGTCACTGGGCTGGGCGTGTATCCACCCACAAGCACTCTGTCTGGGGGAAGCAGGGCCAGGTAGATCGCCAGGCAGCTCTCAGCCAATGCCCAGCCTCCAGGAGTTCAAACCCAGGGGCCCTGGGTTCATAGGGCACTTCACCTCCCTGAGCCTCAGTTTCCCTTCTAATGATGTATCAGGGCTGGGAAATGACAAGCTCAGAGATGGTGGTGTTCTCCCCAAATGACAAATGAAGAAACTGAGGCCTCCCAAGGTCAAGGGCCTTGCTAAAGGTCACAGAGCTGCTGGATGGCCAGGATTTGACTCCAGTGTGAGCTGTTGACCCCTGTGCTGGCCGCTGTCCACGGGGACCTCTCAGAAGTTAAAGTGTAAGCTAGGGATGTGGTTCGATTTGGGGTGCCTGCAGCACAAGTTTTGGCCCTCCTGGGGGGTGCCCAAGTTCAGCCAGTAGCAGATGGAGCTGCTGTGGCGCTGCTCCTCATGTAGAGACCCCAGGCCCTTAGACAGTGAGACTGGGCCTGTTATGGGCCAGCTGGGGAGACTTCCAAGGGCAGTGCCAAGGCTGCAGAGCGTATGTGGCGTTCCCAGACTCAGCCAGAGGCCCCAGCCCCCATAAGGGCTGAGTGCATCCCAGAAAGTCACCAAGCTTGGCAACTTGCCTTGGTCAGGCTGGGCAGCAGCTGCTGGTCAGCATCCCAGGTAGGGATGTCCCTCACCTGCGCTGTCTGTATCCAGGAATAAAAGGTGGTCACGAACCCAGCCCCCACCTCCTGTTTATGATGTGTGATCAGGCCCCAGTTCACCTAAGGTCTTCATCCCAGCACACAGAAGAGAGGCTCTGTGGTGTGGAGAATTGGTTTAATGTGGATTTCCAATCCTGGGGGAGTAGGGAGGTCCAGGAGCTGGGCCAGCAGGCAAATGAATGGGCTGTATGTTTACACCTGGTCCCAAGAGACAGGCTAGGAAGTAGGGGCTGGCTCAGGCAGGCAGGGGACCCAAAGGCCAGCCCTTGAGAAGGTATCTAAACCAGATAGTAAGGGCCCAGGGAGGCAGGATTGGGGCCTGGTCGGAGGCTCCCAGAGCCTAGGGGCTGGCATCGCCAGGGGCCTCCCCGAGCTGCTGCTGGAATTCCAGGCGTGTCTGCCGGTTGGACTCCAACAGCTCCTGGAGTCGGGCATGGAGGTGATCATTCTTCTCCTCCAGGTGGTCCAGACATGAGTTGATCTGGTCCAACATGGAGTTGATGGCTGCATACTCTGGGAGGAAGGGGAAAGACAGACCCAAGGTCCCATGTCTCCTCTAGGCTCCCAGACACACTTGTACCCCATTGTTCCCCAGCCCGCCTCCAAGAGGGCTTTGGGAGAAGTCTCTACTCCTTCCTGAACCCGTGTCACCATCTGGAAAATGGGCAGAAACCAAAAGAAAGGCTTTGAAGAAACACCTTAGTGCTCCATCTTCTAGTTAGGATGGTCACAGCCTGGGAGGTCCCGCCTCCAGGGATCTCCCTAAGTGCAAAGGTGAAACCTCTTTGGCTCTTCCTTGCTTCCTCTCTCCCTGCAGAGGTGGACAGGGCCTCTTCCAGGCAGGCTCTCATTTCCAGCCCTTCCATGGCTCCCTCTGCCATCAGGGGAAACCACCAGCAGATTCCCAGATCCTCTCCAGCCCCCTCAGTTCCCTTCCTCTGTCTCCTCTCCCAATCCTTTTCCTTTCCCCTCCCTCACACCCACCTCTCCCACCTCAAGCCCTCTGGGCTGTTGCCTCTGCGCGGGATATGCCATTCCTCCTGTCTCCCTTCCCTTTTTTGGCAGTCACTACAGGCTATCCTATCACCAGTGCCCTACTGACGCAAGCGAGTCTCGTAGCCCTCCACAGCCCTCTCCCCTCAGGCACAACGGCTGTGAATATCTGTGCTGGCCTATGTCTGTCCCTCAGCTGTGGGAGAAGTGACTGGTCTTGTGTTGGCTGCTGTCTCCCCAGTGCGCTCGATGGCAAAGTAAGCGTTTGCTGAAGGAATGAGTGAGTGAATGAATGAATGGAGCTGACTTGCCAGCCTCTCTGCCTTCGCTCAACTCTCTACCACCCAGAGATGCCTGGACCACAATCTGTCAAGGACCAGCTCAAAATGCCTCTTCCAAGAAGCCGTCTCTGGTCCTCCCTCTACTGCCACTCTTCACCTGCCTCTCAGAGACATGATGTTCCTTTGGACCCAAGGTCTGGGCCTGTGCCCACTGCGGGACCCGGTTCTGAGCCAGCCTGTGACTCAGATATACTTGGCTGCCAACTTAGGATAGGAAGAGAAGTGGGTGGTGGTGGTGGAACAGTCTGGAATTCAAGGAGTGTGTCTGGGATGTGGGTGATTGCATTCAAGGGAAGGTTACCCATTGCCCAGAAAGGGCACCACTCACAGAAGACAGTCCTGTGAAGTCTGCTGCAAGTCCACGCCTCGTGATACAGAGAGGGAAACTGAGGCCTAAGAAGAAAGAAACTATCCAGGATCCTATAGCTGGTTGGTGACAACCAAAATTCTCACTTGGGGATTAAGGGCTGTTAGGTTTGGGTTCCAGTTCTGCTCTACCCCAGCAAGTTGCTACAGCTCCTTTCTAGAAAAGAGGTGAAGAATGGAAGTGTGAAGTGTATCCAGAGCTTAGCAAGGTCTGCTAAAGTGATTTTTTTTTTGGGGGGGGGGTCCAGCCGTGGGGCCTGAACTCTGGGCCTGGGCGCTGTCCCTCAGCTCTTCAGCTCAAGGCTAGTGCTCTAACACTTGAGCCATAGTGCCACTTCCGGCTTTTTTCTTTTTGCTTATGTGGTGCTGGGGAATCGAACCCAGGGCCATAGGCATGCAAGGCAAGCGCTCTACCACTGAGCCACCTTCCCAGAGCCTAAAGTGATTCTTTAGATGGTCATTACAACCAATACTTCACATTCCCTGTTAGGGACACCAACTGGGGGACAGGATGAATGTCTCCACACCAACTGGAGTGAGGCTTTTATCCCTGTCAAGGGTACTTCACAGTTCCAAACCTTGATCTTCCCCACTGTCCTGTGAATCAGCCAACATCCATGCAGCCCTTCGCTAGGCCCTCACTGTGGCTACTGCCTCCTCTGCTGCAGAGCTACAGGAACACTGCTTGTCCACACTGGGTGGCCTGCCTTTATGAAAAGTAGACCCTGGGTCTGGGTTTGTGGCTCAAGTGAAGAGCCGATAGCCTAGTAAACACAAGGTCCTGAGTTCAAACCTCAGTACCACCAAAAAAAAAAAAAAAAGACCCAGAGTGATGAAAATATCTTAGCACTGTGAGGGATGCACAACTCTGAGCATACTAAAACCTTGGAACTGTCCAACTTAAATGGGGCTGATTTGTATAGCTCAATAAAAATGTGATTGCAATAACAAAGCACTGCCCCATCCTTACCCCACGTTTACTAAGTCCTGCCCTCCAAGTTACTGCTCCCACCTTACTACACCGAAGAGAATAACCACACGGCTCACTTCCTCCATGAACCCTTGCCTGCACCATCTGTCACGGGACGGACACACTCATCCCTACTCCTATATGACAAGGGGAATACGGAAGGACGGGGCGCGGGAGCCCGGGCGGATGGTTCTCCCACCCTCGCGCGGGGCTGTGCACGCAACAGGCTGCTGGGGAGCCGGGCACACCGGCCCCGCCGGCCCCGCCGGCCCCGGTGCTGACTCAGCAGCGCGGGCGCCCACCGGGTCAGCCCCGCCTGCGCGGCCACACCTGCCAAGCCGGGTTGCAAACCCCTTGGTGGGGGGGGGGGGAGTGGGGCAGGAAGTGATCGGAGCAAATCCCAAGCAGCTGAGCATCCCCGGAGGTTGCCTCAGTTTCCCCTTCTGTGAAACCGGGCTGCGGTTTCTAGGAACCTCCAAGGTGGCCCCGGGAAAAGTCGGGACCTTCCGCGAGCGGGTGGGGAGAGCCCACCCCGTCTCCGATTCCCCTTCCCAGGGAGGGTACCCCTGGAAAAGCAACAATCGCTTCGGGAGCTCCCCCCACCCCGCGCCCCGTCACCTGCTTCCCCGAAGCCATCGTCCTCGCCTTCCGCCGCCGCCTCCACCGGCATGCCCAGGTCCCCGTTGGGGCCCGACATTGCGGGCTCGGGCACCGCAGGGGCCGCGCGACGACGGAAAGCGGCGACCGTCGCCCTGAGAGCCGGCGCCGGGCGGAAGGTGGGAGCCGCTGAGAGATCTCGGAGCCGGAAGGGAGGAACGCAGCGGCGCGCGGCCGCCCGGAGCCCGGGGCCCCGCCCCCGTGGCCTGCGCCGCGACGCCCGAGCTCCGCCTCCTCCCCGCCCCACGGCCCCAACCCCGCCCACCCACCGCCAGGCCCCGCCCCTAAACTGGCTCCGCCCACAATGCCTCACAGTCGGCTCCGCCCCCCGGCCGACCCGCGGGGGCCCGGCCCACTCCGGGTGGCGGTGCGGGGTGATCGCGGGGCTCTCCGACAGCGGAGAAACCCGGGCAGCGGAGGCTCGAACCCGAGCGAGGGCTAGTGAGTGTCAGCGAGCCCGGCAGGAGAGCGGGCCACTCGGGGACCTCCACTCTGTGCCCCTTCCCTGCTTCTGCCCCTCTGAGTGTTCGAAATCAGACCAGCGGTTTCCAAGGCCTCTTGAAGCTTCGAGAAGTTCCAGTCCTGGCAGGACAGGACTGTCATGGAGGGGTTCCCTCCTCCTCCTTCCTCCTTCCCCCTGCCTGCCTCGGCAGCGACCACCCACCTCACGCACTCCATCCTGGACCTCTCTGCCGTTCTGCGCCCGCCTGGGGGATCCAGGGCTGCACCTGTGGGTGGGAACCCGCCTGGCTCCAGCCCTGGACCAGGCTCCAGGCAAGTACAGAAACAGAAAAATGAGGCCTCTTGAAATTTTATCAGGATCTCACCTTGTATACCTTTAATGTATGATAATTTCAAAACAGAATAAAAAGCCAGGCACCAGGGGCTCACCCCTGTAATCAATCCTACCTACTCTGTCATCCTAGCTACTCAGGAGACTGCCATCTGAGGATCCCAGTTTGAAGCCAGCTGCAGCCCAAAAGCCCATGAAACTTTTTTTTTTTTTTTCGGTCGGTCATGGGGCATGACCTCTGGGCCTGGGCACCGTCCCTGCGCTCTTCAGCTCAAGACCAGCGCTCTACCCCTTGAGCCACAGTGCCACTTCTGGTTCTGGTTTTCTAGTGGTTTATTGGAGATAAGAGTCTCATGGGGGGCTGGAAAGTCGGCTCAGTGGTAAAGCACTTGCCTTGCATGCTTGAGGCCCTGGGTTCGATTCCTCAGCACCCATAAGCAAAAAAAAAAAAGCCGGAAGTGGTGCTGTGGCTCAAGTGGTAGAGTGCTAGCCTTGAGCTGAAGAGCGGCACCCAGGCTCAGAGTTCAGGCCCACGACCGCACCCAAAACACACACACACACAGACACACAGACACACACACACACACACACACACACACACAAATAGTCTCATGGACTTTGCTGCCCAGGCTGGCTTTGAACCATGATCCTCAGATCTCAGCCTCCTGAGTAGCTAGGATTACAGGCGTGAGCCACCGGCGCCTGGCTCCATGAAACTCTTCTTTCCAATTATCCACCCTCCACACACACCAAAAAAACGTAAAAATTTTAAAAAAATGCAAATAGAGCTGAGGGCTCAAATAGTAGAGCTCAGCCTTGAGCAAAAAGCTCAGACCCTGAGTTCAATCCCCAGGACTGGCGTGCACGCGCGCACACACATGTGCAGACCCCAGGGCAAGTGCATGTGTTTATTTAGCAGATAAGTGGGTGGACTCCGGCAGCCAAGTGGCTTTTGGAGCAATTGGGTGAGCAGCAGGGCATCACAAGAAAGGTCTTCCAGTTGTCACTGGCTTCATGGCTGGGGGTGGGGCATGGAGTAGACAATCTGCTCCCTGGGCAGAGGCAACAGGAAGGATGGAGATAAAGATAGGCAACACCTGAGAAAAGAAAGGTGATTAAAGACGCTGCAGTTGGGGGAAGGGGAAAAGGGAGGGAGCAAAGGTAAGTCTGGGACCCTCCTCCTCCCACCCACCCCTGGCCACCCTCCCCTCAGGTCCCTGTGCAGCCATACTCACTGCACCTTCAGTCATCAATGCACTGGTCTGTGGGAGGAAAAAGTCCATCAGAACAGGCAGATGGGATAAGTGTATATGTACATGTGTGTGCATGCACATCTCTGGCTACCAGAACCCCTGTGCTGTCCCTCAGGCCCAGCCTGGACCAGCTGCATCTCTGGGGGTTTCCTCAGGACTTGGGGAAGCCTGAAGACCCATGTGTGAAAGATGCAGTAAGGGAAAGGTTTGGGGACTTGCTGCCCAAAGAATGGGGCCTCTCATAGCTGTGCTCCAGCTCCCAGGCCTCCTGCCTGTTCGACCTACTGAGCCCTAGCTAGCCTCTCAGCCAGTGACCCTGAATGACCTGGTGAGAGCCCTCCTTGCCAAGGTCAGGCTAGGCTACTTGAAAGCAGGGACATGTCCTAAGTCAAAGATGAATAGAATCCAAAGGGAGACCCAGAACAGGAGGCCTGGGAAAACGTGGACACTAATCTGTGATTCTCATCTGGTAAGCCCAGGCTAACCTGTCATGGATGAGCACTTGGGGGTCAGGATCCCTGGGGATCCATAGATTCCAGGGTGGGGCAATGTCTTCATAGTCCAAAATGGCTTCCAGAGGAGGCCACTGCTCTTGGATGGGCTGGAGCAGGGCACTGGGTCTCTTGTTTATCCTCTCCCTGGTGGAGAGCATCAGGCCTAGACAACCCCTATGTCCCCTTCCTACCTCCCCAGCTGACCCTTACCAATGGGAGTAAGGAAGGTGATGTGGTCATCAGTAAGGCCCAGAGACTTGGCAAAGTGGACGAAGCGATCCTCCAATTCAGAGCTCAGCTCTTTGTTTCTCCCTGGGTGCGGACAGAAAGATGCTCTATAAATGTTATTGGGTGCTGGTGGCTCATGCCTGTCATTGTAGCTACTTAGAAAGCTGAGATCTAAGGATCATGGTTCAAAGCCAACCCTGGACAGAAAAGTCCATGAGACTCTTTTCTTCAATTAGCCAGCAAAAAACTGAAAGTGGAGGTAGGATTCAGGTGTTAGAGTGCCAGCCTTGAGCACAAAGCCAATGCCAAAACTCAAAAACAAAAAGTCATCGGACAAGTGAATGAGGCCTCCGACATTTTCCCTATAGAACCTATGCAGGAAGACCTCCTCCCTGAGGGGGCTGGAGTTGAAGAAGACCTTGAGGCCTGAGTGAGGGTGGAGGGTCTCATCCCCTAAGTGTGACCAGGAGCTGGGGCCCCGGGGGATAGGATGAAGACCCACCGTAGAGGGTAGTCTTGAAGTACTCCACGTTTGAGGAAGTCTTTTTGAAGAATAACATGGCGAACTCGGAGTAGTTAGTGTCTATCACTTGCATAGTGTAGCTCTGTATATTCGGGTATCCTGTGGTACAGGAGTGGGGGTAAGAGGTCAGCCTTGCCTGCGCTGGGAGGAAGAGGAGACCGTCCCCTTTCTTTCCAGCCTGCTGACCGTAGGCTTTCCCCCAGAGGACAGCATCTAAGTAGGGTGACAAAGAGGCGTGTGCTCCCCGGAACCTCACACCCACCACCCCGTCTCAAATGGGAACTCACTGTGAATGTCGCCTAGGGTGTACTGGCCCCACACGGAACCTGAGACAAAAGTTCTGTTCCAGTAGTCACAGTTCTGACCCCTACGGGAGCAAGAGATGGGGTGAGCTGAGGGAGATGACACAGGTGTGGACGCTCCTGGGCCTGACCAGGTAGCACCAAGATGGTGGCAGGATTCAGATACTCCCAGTCCAACTCATAAAAGCCTGTTCCCCATTAAAGTGGAAGCTCCGCCCACCCAGTTTAGACTGGCCTGGGCTTTCCTGCCTTGAGCCTATCCCTCATCTGATGCCCAGAGCTGCCTGACTCTCTTAGATCCTCCCTCCTGCATCCGAAGTCCCTCTTCACCTGCCTCCCCTAGGTGGCCTACCCCACGTGCAGCCCCAGCCCCAGGCACTTACCCCAACTCCCACCTGGCTGTTCCCCTGCTTCCACCTACTCCACCTGTCCAGCCTGCTTCAGACCAAATACTCCCGAAACAGCTTTCTACCTTTCTTCTGCCTCTCAGTCCTCAAGTGCTCCAGCTCCAACCTACCAGCTTCCCAAATCAGAAAAACACTGCAGGGGGGTGGAGGGGGAAGGATGGGTTGGGAAGGGGAAACAAAGAAGGAGGCTACAATGCTTGATAAGAAATGCACTCATTATCTTGCCCATGTAATTGTAACCCCTCTGTACAGTATTTTCACACACACACACACACATACAAAAAAAGCCAAAAAAGAAAGAAAGAAAGAAAAACACAGCAGCAGATACAATCCTGTTCTAGTTCCCATCCACCTACCACCTCCCAGCCCTGGCTGCCCAGCCTCACCTTCATTGTTCTACCTACCTCCCAGCTCCACCTGACTTTCTCCCCTGATGCAACTGAATCCGGATACCCAGATCCTGGCCTTGTGGGAGCCCCCTTGCAAGGCAGGTTGCCCCAGGGTCTAGCTTCCTACCTCTGGAAGGCACCATTCTCTGACTCAGAGTGCACCAGCCCCTTCCGTGCATACTCTGCACACTCCATGCACACACAACTGTTTGTGTGTGTGTGTGTGTGTGTGTGTGTGTGTGTGTGTGTTTTGATACTAGGGTTTGAATTCAGGACCTTGGCACTGTCCCTGAGCTCTTTTGCTAAAGGCTAGAGTTCCTCCACTTGAGCCACAACTCCACTTACATTTTTTCCCCTGGTTATTTGGAGATAAGAGTCTCAGAGACTTTCCAATCTAGGCTGGCTTCAAACCATAATCCTCAGATCTTAGCCTCCTGAGTAGCTAGGATTACCCAGTGAGTAGCTAGGATTACCGAGCTGTGTGTATACTTTCTGAGATACATTGGCTCCTTTTTATTTTTCATTTTTTGTTGTTGTGAGGCTTGAACTCGGAGTCTGGGTGCTATCCCTGAGCCTCTTTGGGCTCAAGGCTAGTGCTCTACCACTTGAGCCACAGCACCACTTCTGGTTTTCTGGTGGTTCATTGGCAATAAGAGTCTCATGGAGACTGTTCTGCCTGGGCTGGCTTTGAACCACAATCCTCAGATCTCAGCCTCCTGAGTAGATAGGATTACAGGCGTGAGCCACCAGTGCCTGGCACTGGCTCCTTTTAAAAGCCACTTTCTTAGAAGCCCTGGTTGGAGACCTGGGTGAGGTTGTAGGTAGGTGCAGTATCCCTCCTCCTGCCATGGAATACATTACTCTTTCCATCTTTGTTTTTGTTTGTTTGTTTTTGGTGGTGTTGTTTTGGCCATCTTGAACTCAGGGCCAAACACCGTCCCTGAGCTTTTGCCCTCAAAGCTAGTGCTCTACCACTTGAGGTACCACTTCACTTTTAGCTTTTTAGTGGTTAATTGGAAATAAGAGTCTCACACACTTTCCTGCCTGGACTGGCTTCAAACCATGATCCTCAGGTCTTAGCCTCTTTAGTAGCTGGGATTATGGGCATGAACCACAGGTACCTGGCTCCTATCTTGCTATCTTGGGTTTTGGTTTGGTTCTGTTTTTTTGGTTTTGGTGTTGGTACTAGAGTTTGAACTCAGGGCTTCATGCTCGCTAGGCAAGCACTCTACTGCTTCAGCCATACCTCTAGCCCTTGTTGCTCTAGTTCTTTTTTGAGATAGGATCTTGCTTTTTATGTAGGCCAAACTGGACCAAATTCTTCCTATTGAAGCTTCTCCCCTAGCTAGGATGACATATGTGTATCAACACACTCAGTTATTGGTTGAAAATGGGGCCTCCTGAACTTGTTCTCTGGGGCTGGCTTCAAACTACAATCCTCCTAATCTCTGCCTCTGGAGTAGCTAGGATCACAGGCATGAACCACCAGGCCCTCACTTGGCTTCTTGTTTAAGATAGTCTAGTTAACTTTTGTGTGTGTGTATGTGCCACCACCACACCTGTCCTCTCCATCTTCCTTGACCTGTGTGTGTTCATCCCCACTGCTGTCCGTGCTGGAGTGCTACATTGAGAGAAGAAAGGAAGGGAGGAAAGGAGAGAGGGAAGGAGGGATGGAAGCCATGTCAGGAATAACAGGATCACCCCTTGCCTGTGACATCAGTCTACCTCTTAGCCCCTAGGGAGATGGCAGCTTCACCTGAGCAGGGTGGAGGTGACGTTGTAGCTGTTGTCTTCATTCAGCTCATAGGTGGTGGTGTACATATTTGAGTCGCCTTGATTCTTCTGTACTGCATTCCCCGCCAGGCCTATGACATACCACTTCCCCTGGAACTGCAGGGCAGAATGAGGCAGAGCCCTGGAGTGGCTTCAGGAGCCACCTCTCCTGCTCTGGCCCTGCTGGCATCTCTAGGCAGCCTGGCTGGCTGCCCCTCTGATTAGGTTCCAGGGTCCCAGGTGGAGCCTGCCTGAAGGAGCCAGCAAGGGCTGGGGGCCTCCAGCGTCAGTTTCTTCATCTGTGCAGAGGGACTTAGCAGGCAGTGGGGGTTAGTAGGCACAATGACACAGAGATGAAGAAGGATGGGGGTGTGGCTTCCACCAGGGGACCCAGGCCCAAGAGTTCTGAGCTCTGGACTCCCTGAGTCTTACCCATTCCACCCAATGGTGCTCTTTTTTTATTTTTGGTCTGAGATAGGGACTCAAACTCTGTATCTGACACTTTTGATTATTGGCTGGCACTCTACCACCTAAACCACATCTCCAGCCCCCAATATTGAGACCCTTCACCTCTCCTCCCCACAACCCTAGATCTCCTGGCAACTGCCCCTCCAGGACTCTTACCTGCTTATCCTGGAAGTTGGGGGTCAGGGGAATCTTATGTAGAGATGGGGCAGGGATCAGGTTTGGAACAGAAAACTGGGTCTGGACCAGCAGGATGAGTCCCAGCCACAGGAATCTCAGGGTCATGGTTACAGAGCAGCTGCGGGGACCCGGAGAGTGTTGAAGAAGGAAGACGAAGCAGGGAGGGGGCCTACCTGAGGTGAACTATTTATGGGCCACCAGGCTGCTGCCCCCATCTCAGGATGAGGTAATCCTTCCATTGCCAAATCCAGGAAAAGTGGAGCAATTACGGGCAATTCCTGCTGAAACACTTGGCAAGATTTTTGCCCCTTTCTCCCTGTGGTCAGGGTTGTGCAAGGTGGGAGGATCAGCAGGGGAAGTGGAGGGCATTCCCAGAGCCCTGCAGTGTGGCAAGGAACAGGACTCCCACTGTGTGCTTTCCGTGTTCCTTCCCTTCCTCTGGTTAGCCTCCTCCATGGATTTGCTGCTCAGTTCTGAATAAGCCGTCGCCTCTGAACCCCCATGGGCTATGTCACAAGCCCAAAGAGGGTGTATGTGTGGTGAGGTCTTCTCTCTACACCTGCTAGAAGAAAAAGAAAAAAAAATGAGGTGGGTACCAAGGCTTATGCTTGTAATCCTAGCTATTCAGGATCACAGTTCAAAACTACTCCAGACAGAAACAGCTATGAGATTCTTGTCTCCAATTAATCAGCAAAAGACTAGAGGTGTTGCTCCAGTGGTAGAGTGTCAGCCTTGAGCAAAACAAGCTAAGGGACCACACTGAAGCTCTCAGTTCAAGGCCAGTACAAGTATGCACATGTGCACATATGCACATGCAGGTACACACACACACACACACACACACACACGTGTGCGCGCGTGCATGCAATATCCTCAAGTCTTTGTGACCATGTAAGTGAGGAATTTTAAGTAGAGAGGGAACAGTGCCTTAGGTCACAGAGGAATTGGATAGAATAGTCTGAATGTCTCTGATTGGATAGAATATTCTGAATGTCTCTGATTGTTACCACTGCTCACCCAGTGAGGGTCTAGGATATGAACTGGGGTGGTTTTCCACATGAGAAAACTAGAGCTGGGGGTGGGAGGGGTGGTGCCCAGGTTGGGGCACCTGGCTGGCCCCTCCAAGTGCACCCACACACATTTCTGCCTGCCTCCCCGCCTCACAGGCCTGCTCTGGCACCTGCTCTGCCAACTGTGGCAGCCCATGCAGCTCCTGGAGTTGAGGAACATGTTGGCTTTGAACATGATTTGTTGGGGAGCAGTGCTAGGGTTCAAACCCAGGAGCTCGGACATGCTAAGCGAGACTCTACTACTGAGCCATGGCCCCAGCTCCAATTCATCATTTTTTGTTTTTGTTTTGTTGGAACTGGGGTTTGAACTCAGGGCTCTCAGGAGCCACACCTCCAGTTCCCCTTGAACTTGGGATCCTCCTGCCTCAGCCTTCTGACTGCTTTAAGAGGTGTGCACCCCCATACCTGGCTCACCTCAGCATTCTGGCCAAACCCTTGTAAGGATCCATTCTTCTCTCCACACTGGCTTCGGGCCTGTCCAGCCCTACTGGCCTTATCTCTTCCTCTCTGTCCTCACCTCTGCTGGTCTTTGCCTTTGCTCACCCTTGGGGACAGCCATCTCCTCACTCTTGCTCACCGGGGCAGCCCTGCCTGGAGGTTGGAGAGCCAGTGAAGTGAGGCCAGCTGAGGAAGTTGGGCTTCACATGTGCATGGGATTCTGACACTCACCGCCATGGCTGGGGCAGAGACTGTGGCTGCAACCCATCCCTGCCAACATGAGTCTGGTTGGAGCTGAAAGGGCTGTGCTAGATGCTGGGAGCCTTCTGCTTTAGAAGAGGATAGTTTCGGGCTGGGAAGGCTCAGTGGTAGAGTGCTTGCCTAGCATGTATGAAGCCCTGGGTTTGATTCTTCAGTACCACATAAGCAGAAGAAAAAAAAAACCAGGAAGTAGCACTGTGGCTCAAGTGGTAGAGTGCTAGCATTGAGTAAAAGAAACTCAGGGACAGTGCCCCCAGACCCTGAGTTTCAAGCCCCAGTACAGGAAAACAAAACAAAACAAAAAAACAGGAGCGCTTCTGTGGGTTGAGTTGGAGGTCCAGGGAAAAATGCTCTGTCCAGCCCCTTCACAGTCCAGCAGGGCTGATGGCATCAGATCAGTTCCTCACATCTTCTTCCCACCAGCTGTGAGACCCATCCCAGGGGAGTTAGGTGAGGCCCACAGTATAGACTTGCTATGGCGATTCAGGCCAACTTTCAAGTTCCAGGGTGGACAGGATGCTAAAGACTCCAGTCCCTGCCCACTCCCTTCCCAGTGGGCCCAGCCAAGGACAGGACTCCAGGGTCCCTGTTGCTCAGAGCTAGGGGTCCTCAGGTCCTGTGGCTCTTGGTATTGTTATACCATATGTGTGGTGCCCTGCATTGGCCTGCCAGGAACTGCCCCACCTCCTCCAGGCTCTGGTGATTGTTCTGTAGTCCTGAGCTGCTTCTATGGAACCCCATGCCCCAGCTTCCTTCACTGTCTCCCTGGGAACTGCAGATAGCCAGTGTGCCCGCAGCGAACCTTACAGAAGCACCAAGCCCAGAGGCTTGAGAGTGGTTGGGCAGGGCCATGGCTCCAGATCTGCTGAGCAAAGGCAAGAGCCTGACCACTGCCTATGCTTGGGTTTCTGTGGCCAGAGGCCAGAAGAATTCTGCAGCACCCCCTCCTCTAAGTCATTAAGCCACTCCCTGGTGGCTCTTGTATGTCAGGAATCTGGTCTGACCCCCTGGTCTGGTTTCAGTGTTGAGCCTGGCATGAGTGGCTGGGGCCAATTGCTTTCCACAGCCTCCCTGGTGAGGCCTCAGGCCAGAGGCCCAGAGGTCCAGTCACAGCTCCAGAAACACTTGGGGTTCACAGATGGGCCCTACCTGGGAGTTACCCTGTAGCCCTAGCCCCAGTAAGGAGGAGGAAAGTCTGTGGAGTATGAGGTGCTTGTCCCCTCAAGGTCTAGGCTCCGGTCTCCTGTTTCCAGAACAGCCCAGCTATTTCCAGAACAGCCCAGCTTTGCAGCCCGGTGTCCGTCTCTTGTATCAAGTTCACCATGAATCCTTGAGGGGCTCCTGGCTCCTGCCTCTCCCACTTGATAGGGGACCCTGTCCTCCTCATACCCCAAATGTACCCACTGATTCCCCCCTGGGGGAGGCTTTGGGGGGCCTTCCAGAAGGGTCAGCAGGCCCTGCTGTTGAGGTACAGACACAAAGCCACAATCTGGCTCTGGTTCTTTGCTGCATGGGCATCTAAGAGGAGGTCTCTCATGTCATGCGTTTTCTGTTGTTTTTGTGTATTTTTTTGTGCAGGTACTGGGGCTTGAACTCAGGGCCAAGGAACTCCCCATTAGCTTTCCCCTTAAGGTTGGCACTCTACCATTTGAGCCAAAGCTCCACGTCCAGCTTTTTGGTGGTTAATTGGTGGTTAAATGGACTTTTCTGCCCCAGCCAGCTTTGAACCTTGATCCTTAGCTCTCAGCCTCCTGAGTAGTTAGGACCACAGGTGTGAGCCACTGGTGCCTGGCCAAGACCTTGGCTTTGGCCTGGCTGTTGTCCTTAAGGACTCTATCCTCAGGCTTCCAGGTCAAGGTGTGAAGGAAGTGTGAGCATCTGGGGACAGGGCTTAGTGGCCTGCCCCTGGGGCAGAATGACTTGGCAGGACTGGGCCTGACCTGCATGGGTGTGAAGGCAGGTAGGCTGAGGTCACGGCTGCTTGGGCTGGAAGCCTTGGGTGGGCACTGTTTTCCCCAGGATCACTGCAGCCCCAAGCCCCGCTCCCTAGGAGCTCAGCCTGAGGCTACCAGGATTAGGATGGATCATGGCTCCCTGCTATCTTCCCACATCCCTGAGCTCCCTCCAACGCTGCTAGGTCCCCCTGTTCCATGCTACCCCCTCCCATACCTCCTCCCATATGGAGTTCCCTAGATTTAGGCCACTTCCTCCCTACTTCCTGTCTTGGTCTATCATTTCCTCACATGCACGCCCCCTCCCCCACCCAGGTAGGCCTTGACCTTCTTTCAGTGCGTTTTCATCACAGTGCTTTTCCTGCCAACAGCCTTTGCAATTTGGATGAGAATTTCCCAAACCAGCACATTATTACAACAAATTACCATATACTTCCAAAGACCAGAAGTCTGAAATCAGAAAATCACTGTATGTGTCCATCAAGGTGGCAGGGATGAGGGGGTGTGTGTGGGGGTGTATGTGGGGGTACTTGTTCCCTCTGAGGTCCCAGAGCTTGTGCCTTGCCTCTTCCAGCTCCCTGGCTGTGGCCCTGACCCCCTTCTCTGCCTGTCTGTGTAGCCTTCTCCTTTGTGCCTAATCTCCTTGCCCTGTCTTGAAGGACACTTGAGATGTCGTTTAGGGCCAGCTGGATAATCTATAGTAATCTCATCTCACAATCCTTATTTAAAAGGTTGAATGACAAGAGGGAAAGAAGCACGAACTGCCCAATAAATAAGTGGGCGAAAGACTTAAAGAGAAACTTCTCTGAAGAAGAAAGAAGGATGGTCAATAGACACATGAAGAAATGTTCAACATCCCTAGCCATAAAAGAAATGCAAATCAAAACAACATTGAGATATCACCTCTCCCCAGTTAGAACGAGAACTCTAATAACAACAGATGCTGGAGGGGATGTGGACAGAAAGGAACCTTACTTCATTGTTGGTGGGAATGTAAACTTGTTCAACCACTTTGGAAAGCAGTATGGAGGTTCCTCAAAAGACTTCACATAGAACTCCCCTATGACCCAGCAATCCCACTTTTGGGCATTTACCTAAATGTTTACAAACAAGACCACACTAAAGCTACCAGCACAACAATGTTTATTGCAGCATTATTTACCATAGCTAAGATATGGAACCAACCCAGATGCCCCTCAGTAGATGAATGGATCAAGAAAATGTGGTATATATACACAATGGAATTCTATGCCTCCATCAGAAAGAATGACATTGCCCCATTTGTTAGGAAATGGAAAAACTTGGAAAAAATTATATTAAGTGAAGTAAGCCAGGCCCAAAGAAACATAGGTCCCATGGTTTCCCTTATATGCAATATCTACTATATGTATGAGTCAAGCGGAAAAGGTCAGATAATGTGATGTC